AGTTAAAAACTGAAAGGCCCAAATTAAACACTGTAAGAGTTCTTTCTTTGGAATCAAATAAATAGTGGGAACTGTATCAACTTGTTATCAAGAATGTGTTTTTGATGGAGACATGGAAGAAAAAGTGTATATGGAGATCCCCACATGACTGGAAGATGACTCAAATAAACATCAAGTTTGTAAACTAAGAAAATCACTTTATGGCCTCAAATAATCGACAGGAGCCTGGTTTGACAAATTTGTCGAGATTATAAGATATTATGGGTACATTCAATACCAATCAAATCATATATTATTCATAAAGCATACAAAGGAAAATAATAAAACGATACTCATTATCTATGTAAATAATTTGATCCTGACAGATGATGATGATAAAGAGATTAGGAACATTAGAGAGATTCTCACTACTAAATTTGAAATTAAAAATATATGAGCAATGAGATACTTTCCGGGCATGAAAGTGGCCAAATCCAAAATGGGTAATGTGATATCTTAAAGAAAGTACATCCTAGACCTATTGAAAGAAACATGAATATTAGGGTACAAACCTGTTGAGACTCCTATAGATTATAACAAAAAGTTACAGTTTTGAGGAGAAAAACATCAGTAAAAAAAAAGATAAATACCATAGATTGGTGGGTAGGCTCCTCTACTTATCACATAGTGGACCTAATATTGCTTTTTCTATAGGCACAGTGAGTCAACACATAAACAATCCAAACGAGGAACATTTGGGGATAGTTTGCAAAATATTGAGATTTTTTAATAATACACTTTGTAGAGGGTTCTTGTTCAAGAAATCTGACAATAAGGATGTAGAGGTTTACACTGATGCTAGCTAAGCAAGAGCACTCACGAACAAAAGATCCACCTCTGGGTATTCTTCCTATGGAAAAATCTTGTCACATTGAAGAGCAAGAACCAGTAGTCTCTAAAAGCAATGCAAAAAATGAGCATCAGATACTTGCTTTGTGAATTTGTGAAAAAATGTGAATTCAAAGGGTACCAAATGAGTTTGGATACTCCACGGTTGATCCCATTAGGACGTTTTGCAATAGTCAAGTTTCCATTAGCATTACAAAAAATCTTGTCACATTGAAATTGATAGATATTTTATTTTTTTAGAAGGTCAATGGAGGCATTATTCACTTAATCTACATCATGACTCACTGTCAAATTGCTGGTGCCTTAACAAAATCTCTACCTCCTGGCAGCATCATTTATTTGAACACCAAGTTGGGTCTTTAAAACATCAAATGACCCAACTTAAGGGAAATATGGAATTATGTGTTTATTATTTTAGATTTATTTTCATTTATTTATTCCTTATTATGTTGTATTTCTTTTCTTTATAGTTGTTATATCTTTAATAAGGTGTAACTATGGGAATTATATTTTTCCTTTGGTTTTATTCATTATATAAGGAGAGGTATTGTGATTTGTTGACTAAGAAAAAAGAGAATATTTTCCTCCCATGTTCTTCTTCAAGATTCAAATTAAATTCTTTAGTTGAGCCAAATAATATGAAGAATAAGATGTATAGTTTCATCAATAGGCTATCATGTCTTAGACGAATCTAAAAAAGATTGGACACTAATAAACAAATATAGATGAATGATGAAGTTCAAGGTATTTAAGGAAAAGAGATGTACTTTTAAAATTAATATCATTGATGCATGTAATTTCCTATGTGACAAAACTAAACAGTATTAAAACATTAAATAAGAAAGAATCTAATAGACTAGCAAAAGCTCCAATTTTTTTTTATAATTTATATAATAGACTTGATGCTAAAAGAGATGAAAATGTATATGATAATGAAAATAAAAGATGATAGATCTAAAAATTTTGATTAAGTTAAATGCATTGCAAGCGAAGATAAATAGATTTTATTTAAAGATAAAAGATATCACAGAATGATGAAATTATAACTTTGAGAAACTATTAAATATAACAGAATGATGAAAAATAAACAAATAAATATAAGAAACAAAAATAGGTAGAACTTTACATCAACATGAGTTACAAAGAATTGAAATTTTATATGGCATAATATAGCAATGTCATTAACAAATTTTTTCAATAAAATTTTAAAGACCAAAATAATGTTAAATGATTGGAGATGAAGTGTATAAAAACAATTATTTAAAAATAAAAGGATAAGCTTAAAACTGTACTAACTACAAATGAATCAAGTTTAAAGAGTCGTGCAAATGAACAAAGACTTGGAAAAATTATAATAGTACTAAAGAACTAATATGGTTTAATGCCTGAACATCTCCTATATAAGTGATAAATATATAGAGATGATATTGAAAAGATATAATTTTGATTGCCACAAGAATTAATTGCATGTGAAAGAAAGAAAGAAGTGTTTACCAAATGTATGTTGCAATTATCAATGATATGTACAATGCAACACTAAATATTGTGGAATTGTGAGTGTTGCATTTTAGTTTTATTTCCTCCTCATTATGTTATATTTCTTTCCTTCTTGAGTTATGTTTTCTTTGGTAGGTTGTAATTGTTGCAATTATTCGTGCACTAGTCATTCCTTATTATATAAGAAGAAGAGTTGTAATTTGATTATTGAAAAATACGTTAATTCAATTTTATCCATCTTTATTCATGGTATCAGAGATAAGTAATAAACCCTAACTCTCCTTCCTCCTACAGGCCCTCCGCCAGATCTTCTCCCTGCAGACACATCTCTTCTTCCCTGTCAAGCAATCATTATTTGAGCTTCAGAGAAGACTCGTTTGCTTCTCTTCACCGAATCACTTCCCAGCAGGCCCACATCGCTCCACAACAGGATTGGATCGCTTCAGGCACATTCTTTCTGTCACTTTGCAATCACAATCAGATGTAATTCTTTCTTTTGTTTTGCACTTGTGATTCTTTCTCTCATTGGCACCCGCAAATCATTTTGTTGCTTAGCAGGCGCGATCTCTTCCCTTCGACTGGGTTTGCTCTCTGTGAAGAGAAGCCATGTCAAAAGAGAAGCTATGTCCTCGCACACGTTCTTTCCACTGCCACGCTGTGGAAGGTTTCTCTCAGCCGCAGTTATCAGGGTGCCCTTCAGAAGA